CCTCCTTCCAGAATGCGGATAGGGAGTGCAGACTCACCTCCTAGGGGATTTCAGGAGAGATGATCCATCCCTTGAGGTCTATTTTCCACAGAAAGGGGGTAATGAGTAGTTAACACTTTGGGGATGGGGGAAGAGTTGGAGGGAGTGGATCCATCTAGTAATAGAATAGAATCATGTTCATTAGAGTGCAACTACTAACACATTAAGACTGTTCACTACAAATGTATTAAGCATACTTCTTGCAAACTTTATTACCTGGGTCTGTTGAACATCTTTCAGTTATCTATAGTTTCTTTTGATTTCAGTCATTACAGATACCATGTCTGCTAATTATTATTGAGTATCAATATTTTATGTGAAAAAATTGAAATATTTCAGATCTAGGATTTTTTGTTCTTCCAGAAAATCAGAGGATTTGTTTACATCTGGCAGGCTGCTGGGGCTTAGTATTAGTAATCTTGAGTTGTGTAATCCAATCAGGGACTGAGGTGATTCAGAGTTGGGCTTCAATTACAGTGAAGGTGATTTTTTTCACTTTGAGCTCTGTAGGGCCTCTGGCTAGACAATGTTGTCCAGTAGTTTGACCTCTTGTTCTGTGAATCTGTTAAAACTGTGCATAACTTCTGAGCCTCTCAGTTGCTTCTTTCAGAATAGTCACAGTGCTAGGGAGAAAATAAATGTGCCATGTTCATTTCTCCAGAGTTCCTCCTTCCTATAGATCTTGGCCGTGTAAATCATTATTAGCTTGTTATGTGTTCATCTGTATCCTATTAATTGCCCTCGCTAACTCATGCAGTACTTGTTAACTAGTAGTGAGGTGGAAATACTCATCGTGTATCTGAACTTAGAGGGAGTGTTACAGGGGTAGCCCAGAGTGGACTGAGCTGCCTGTCTGTGGGGCCTCACCCACGTGCTCACAATTCAGTTATACTGCAGGTACACACAAAAGGGTCCATAACGGGTTTATTTACAAAAGGGGAAAGGAATAGGAAACAACCCAGGGAAAGAAAGTGGGATACAAAGTAACTGGAATACCTTACGGCTTGGCTGACTGAACACAGAGTCACGTGGTCAGGAGAGCTGCTTCCCCAGCAAGAGAGTGAGAGATGCAATTGTGCCCTGTTTATCCCCCAAATGTCCCAGAATTCCTGCTAGCTCTGCCCTTGGGTCCTTGCAGTTCTCTCCCTGGTACTGCTGGGAGTTGTAGTTTCCAATCACTGGAGTAGGGGGTAGAGTCCAGAAAGCTGGAGTAGGGGTTGGACTCCATAAGACTCTACAGAGTTCCTTTAGGACATCCTTTCCCTTAACAAGAGGATTATCTGTTTTACATCATTGAGTGTGATGCTAGCTGTGAGGATGTCATTCACATTTATATATATATTCCTTTTATGGCCATTTTACTCAGAATTTTTATCATAAATTGATGCTGAGTCTTAGTGCGTTTTCTGATCATGTGATTTTTTTTATCGTTCTGGTAGGAAATAGTGAATTACCTAAACTGATTTGCATATGCTGAACCATCCTTTCATCTCAGGAAAAATTCAACTTGGCCATGACATATGATCCTTTTAATGCATTTGGTTTGCTAACGTTTTATTGAGGTTTATTGCATCTATGTTCATCAAGGGTATTGGTCTGTACTTTTTTTTATGATATCCTTGTCTGCTTTTGAAAACACAATAATGATGGCCTCATAAAATGTGTTTGGGAGCATTGACTCTTCCTCTTTTTTTTTTTTGGCAGTGTTTGAGGATATGTCTTAGTTCTTCTTTGAAGGTTTGGTAAACTCACTAGTGAAACTATCTGGTCTTGGACTTTTGGGAGATTTTTGATTACTCTTTCAATTTCCTTGCATATAATTAATCTGTTCTGATTTTCTATTTCTTCCTGACTCAGATTTGAAGATTGAATGTTTATAAGAATTTATTCATTTCTTACAGATTTCTATTTTGTTGTCATAAAGCTGTTCATTATAATCTCTTATTGTCATCTATTTCTGGGGTGCCATAACTTCTCATCTCTGACTATTTATTGGCATTTTCCATATGATTAATTTTTTTAAAGATTTATTTATTTATGCATACAGAACTGGGGTACAGGCCAGAGGTGCAGGGGCAGCGAGAGGATTCACCAGAGATATTGAGGTGCAGAACAGGCCAACTGAGGAAGTACACTGCTAAGGGGAGCAGCGGACAGGTCAGGAGAGGTCTGCCACACCATTTGGAATACCTCTGGGGTGAGTGGGAATCCAACTCATGCTGAAGTGGCTTTAGCTTCTTAGTGCTGTGATTTAAACTGCTGCACCACCAGGGAGGGCCCCTCATATGATTAATTTTTAAGGCTGGCTACCACATTTTTCCTGGAAATGATTATGATTTATCCTAGCGATCTCTCCATTTTATTACATAGAAACATCCTCATTCTCTATGTAGTTATATTCTATTCCATGTATATACTTTTGTTTACTTCTCCTTTCATTTACTGACAGATATGTGTTGTTAGTTTCTTTTTCATTTAATTTACAATTATAAATAAGGCCTATGTCCCTTTATAAATATTCAAGTATATCTATAGTACAAATTCCTAATATTGGAATTAGTCAAAAGATGAATACATCTAATGTTTAGTAGCTATGGCTAAATTCCCTTCCATTGGATACATGTGACTTGGCACTTTCATTAGCCATGTGTGAAAGTGCATACTTCCGGACAATCTTTGCCAATAGTGTTTTGCCAAATTCTAGGATTTTTACCAATATGTAAAATCAACAAGTTTATATTTGCATTTTTTATTATAAGGTTATTTGTTAAAATGTTTATAACATGATATCTGGGTATGTGAACCATTTATATCCATTCATCACTATTATAATTCCCCTTTGCCAAACATAGATTGCTTTGAAATTTTAATATATAAGAACAATTTTGTATTCTGATTTTGATTTTCTACTAATAACCAGGCTTATTGTTATTTGTATTTGTAATAATACAAAGTAATATTTGTATTATTTTCTGAGAAAAAATCTATACTGTTTATATTTTTGAAATTTATCAAAGTTCACTTTTGGTTGACCATATGATCAATTTTTAATGAACATTACTAGCACTTGTAAAAACAGCACACTCTATTATGATCAGGTATAGAATTTGATGTATATTTATAATATCCACCTAAATTTGGCATGTGGCTGTCCAGTTTTCTCAGCTGTCTTTATTGAAGATTCGAGGCTTTCTGTATTGTATGTTCTTGGCTCTCTTTCCATAAAGTTGTTGTCCATGTAAGTGTGGGTGTATTATGGGGATATCAAGTTTATTCCATTGATGTTTGTTTCTATTTTTATTTTGATGCCATGGCTTTTTGATAATTACAGCCGTATTATTTTAAATAACTTTTGATGTCAGGGAGCTCAATACCTCTATTTTTATTCCTTCTCAGGACAGCTTTGGCAGTCCTTTACTTTTGTACTCTGAAATGTGCTTCATTGCAATACTTGATTTATTGGTTTTCAATTCTCCTATCATGTATTAGGCAGTCAGAGAGCTTATTCTATATTTTACTTTTTTTCTTCTTATATTTTCTACTTGATGCTTTATTTCTACATTGCAAGAGTATAAATATTTAGATATTCTGTCACACACAAAAGTGGATAGTCTACTTTTGTTTTGCCTAGTGCTATAAATATATTTAATTGTCTTGTCATTTTTGATTAAATTTGGGTGATATAGAACTTCAGGTTCAAATTCAGGTCAAATTAGGGAGCTGCCAGTCTAGGGTATCTATTTCTATGTGGGAGTATCACCAATAGATGATGTCAAATTAAGGTCAAAACCATTATGTGCATTTACTCTGAGGCTGAAATTATTCATGAGCTAAGTTATAAGAGGATGAACCCTTAATTTACAACTTGAGGGAAAATAACTATAAATGGGGAAAATAATGCCAATTTGTTCAGGACAGTCACAGTTTGCATTTATTTTCCTGGCATAATGATTAATAGCACCCTCTCACTTTCAAGTGCTCCAATTTATACAGTTACCCTGGCTTTAAAGCATGTTCTTTGGATTTGAATAGTATTGCTTAAAAAAAAAAAAGTACTCCAGGAAATAGCTAGAGATCTCTTAAAGATAAAATAATTTACTCTTTAATCCCTATGTTTTGGGGAAAAATGATATTGGTGAAAATATCTGTGAAGTAACGGTCACATGTTATTTTAATTTTAAGTACATTATTTTCTTTTTTTTTTAAGATGTATTTATTTATGCATGTAAGAACTCAGGTACAGGCCAGAGGTGCAAGGAGGGGAGAGGATTTACATGAGACGGAGTGGGGAGCAGAACAGGAGGACTTACTGAAATATACTGCTGAGGGGAGTAGCAGGCGAGACAGGAGAGGTTGCCAAGCCATGTGGGTCACCTCCCTTGTTTGTGATAGAACTCATGCTGCAGTGGCTGCAGATAGCTTCAGAGTGCTGCACTTTAACCCATTGTGCCACCAGGGAGGGCCCTATTATTGTAATTTCTAACCTACAAAACTGTAGATTAGGGGGAAAAAGACATAATTCTTATGAAGACTTATAAGGGAACCAATTCTGAAAGCTCTGATAGGCTTTACATTAAACATATAAATATTTCTGTCATCTTCCACAAGGTATAGAATGCATCAGTACTCCAAAATCATTTATTTGAACTCTAATTTCTTTAGTCCATTATTAAACCAGGTGAGTACCACCAAATCTATAAATGACAACACGTGCATCTGGAAGCAAAGCCCCTCAGGACAGGGCAACATGCAATCAAGCACCAAGAGTTTCCTAATGCTCAACAACAGGCCACAAAGTCAGGATCTCCCTAGGGCATCCATGGCTCCTAACCACTTTAGCAACACCTGTCATTTTTACCTTTGTTTCCTTCAACAGAAAATCCTACCTAGGAAGTAAAAGATCATAGCTCATGCTTGTTATTGCCTTAGTGTGTCCTTAAAAACACGCTGTATTAATTTGGTTATGATGTTGTGAGCTTGTATGACTACACATATACTTATTAGATTAAACAAGGTTCGGGGGTAAGGTGAGTCCACCACCTTGTTCCACAAGATATTCATGCATGTTCAGCGTCTTTCTACACAAATGAGGTAGGGCTGAGGTTGTAATGTCATACCTAACCTGGGTTTCAGATTTGGAACCAGTTCATGAGGGAAATGTAAGTGAAACCGCTGAAGCAATGCTGTAAAAAACAGGAACATTTCCATTCGAGCCAGCGGTTCTCCAAGACAATGTCTTCTCCCTAAGTAGAAAAAGCAGACATAATAGTTTCTATGAGTCCACGATCTTTACCAAAATTAATGTCTAATCGGATTCCATTCATGAAATCTGGAATTTAAAGAAAGTTAGAAGCTATGTTTATTAAAGGATTTTCTTAAACCCCAAAGAATAGAAATTTTCACTCCAGTTCTCAGAACCCATTTCTTTACCTTCTTCTGCCAGTCACATCATGGACTTAGTAAGCTTAATAGTCCAATTCCCCAACTCCCTTGTATATCTAATTTGATCTATTTGAGATGTGACTTTTTTCCCACAGCCTGTCTTAATCCAGTGAAAAGAACCCATTTTCCGTAAGTTCTGTGGTCTGTGAACTTTTTCCTAGTAGATGTAACATTTTTAGAGCCCAAATAAAATGAACTGGGAGAGCTGTAGACTCTAGTTTTACTTCAAATTACATGTCACTCTCTTCTCTGGGAATAGATATGTTACTGTTACTGATTTTGAGTTCCGCCAGTTTTAATTACTAGTCAAAAATCCTCAAGCGAAAAAGCTTTAGAAGAAGCCAGAGCTTCTTGACAGTCTCTTTAGTTGATAAATTCTTATTTTGAGTAGATACAAGTATTAACGCTACCTAAGTCATTCTCTCCTGAAAGAATCAACACTATGTTTTCAGAATTGGATTATTTAATTCTATGACACAATGCTTCAGATTAAGATGTCCTACATGATGAACCAACATTATATGTAATCCTTATATTATACCCTGGAAATTTCTCTTACCTAGAGAAAAAGGAACCAAAGCTTCCTTCTTGGCAAAATATCCACTGCTGTCCAGAAATCGCTCAGGATAGAATATTTCTGGATCTTTCCAGTATTTTTCATCAAAATGTACAGAATAAAGATTTGTAATTACTGTTGTGCCTTTAGGAATGGTATAACCACGTACAACTGCATCTTCAGAGGGTGCATGGAAAATCCCTAATGGCACAATATTACAGAATCTTAAAACTTCATGCAAAACTGCCTCAGTGTACGGCATTTTGCATTTGTCGTCCAAAGAAGGATTCCCACTGGGGCCCATAATTAAATCAATCTCTTTTTGAACTTGCCCTGTCAAAGAAAAAAATGCTCAAGTTATTATGCAAATCTTAGAATTATACCTAATGTGATTTTTCTTTGGAATAAAACAAAGGATAATCTGTGTGCATACACACAGATTCAGATTTTTCATTATCTGGGAGTTCCATTTAAATACATGCTAGGGCCCTCCCGGGTGGCACAATGGGTTAAAGCACAGGACTATGAAGCTATCTCAGCCACTGCAGCACAAGTTCAATCTCAGGCCAGGGAGCCGACCCACATGGCGTAACAGACCTCTCCTGACCTAGCCCCTGTCCCCCTCAGCAGTGTATTTCAGTCCATCTGCCTATTCTGCTCCCTACTCTGTTTCTCCTGAATCCTTTGGCCTATACACCAATTCTTGTGTGCATAAACAAATACATCTTTTTAAAAAGAATAAAAAATAAATATATGCCTTATGTATTGTACCACCAGGACCCAAATGCTCTGAGTAAATTTGTTCTGAAAAACACATTAAAATCATACAAGTAAAAATTAAACAAACCTAGAACTGGAATAATACCACTCTCAAAAGGAAAAATAAGGAAGCAAAAACTTAAAAAAAAATTAAAAAAAACAGGGTTCAAAAAAGAACAAATCATGATTCACATCCCTGTTCTGGCACTTCTAGTATCATAAATCCTTTTTTTCCTCATTTATAAATGAGGCATAGTTAAAATCTTTCTCACAGGTTGAATTTTTCACATGTAATAGATTTGAAAACACTCCATAACCATTACATATTTGTCTTGGCTGGCACAGCAGGAGTTCCTAAATAAAAAATTCTGTACTTGGTAAAAAACAGTAAAACGTGTGAGTTCTACATCTGAAAACAGACGGTGAAGTCAAAGAAATCCTCACCTTGAATATTAGGGTAGAGGGCCATGAAAAGAATAGCCCACCGCAGTACATTGGTAGTGGTTTCGGTTCCAGCAATGATGAGTTCCCCCACAGAGAAAATGAGGTTTTCCTTGGAGAAAGTAGATGATGGGTCATTTTTACTTTGATCCATCTCATCTAAATAAGCATCAACAAAATGCTGAGGTGACTGAGGTTGTCTTTTCACAGAAGCTTTTTCAATAAGACTGGAGAGAAAATCATAGACGACAGCTGCATTTCTAAACAGCTGTTGGTGTTTTCCAAAAGGTAAGATGCCAATCCACGGAAAGGCATTATACAGGAAGACCGAGGCACTGGCAGCTAGTTCCACATTTTCACTAAATAACTCAATCATGTGCTGAAAATCTGTGTCTTCATAAGTGAATCTTTCTCCAAAAATGATCAGGTTGGTTATGTTTGAAACAGCATTTGTTATTAATTGTTTCAAGTCAAAAGGTCTACCGTTGTATGTCTCAATGGCATCGATGAAAAATTTGGTTTCTTCTAAGATTTTAGATTCAAAAGACTTTTGGCCACATCCAAAATAGTGGAAACTGTTTACAGCCAATCTTCTATGATCAACCCATCCTCGGCCATACCTGGAATTGAGTAAGCCTGGAGAAAAAGAGGTATTAAAACTATTTTATGATTCCGACACACCCATATCTAATAGGTAAAAAATGGTGTAGAGTAAAAAATAAACATGGTTAGTTATTCTTTTCCAAATTACCTTTCCATAAAATTAAAACTGAGCCTGGTGGTTAAGTTTTATTCTTAATCTTGTTCTACTGGCTACTCATCAGATATAGAATAGTACAAACAGGTAAATTTTGTCTACTTCTCATTTTATTTGTAAAGATTGATTTATTTATGCAAAAGGGCAGGAGTATAGGTCAGAGATGCAGGGTCAGCGAGCGGTTAGAGGATTCACTAGAGCCAGAGTGGGGAGCAGAACAAGTGGATTGACTGAAATACACTACCAAGGGGAACATCAGGTGAAAGGGAAGAGGTCTGCTATACCATGTGGGTCAGCTCCCTGCCCAGGGATTGAACTCATGCTGCAGTGGCTACCAAGTGCTGAGACTTAACCTCTTGCGCCACCAGAGAGGCCCTCTACTTCTCATTTTAGACAGCCAGAAAAGGCCTATAGTACTTCCATCACAAGAACCTCAACAACTTTGTGTAATTCAACTGGGTGAACTATACCCAATTGACTTTATAATCCAATTTTTATTACATAACTAATTTACAGAAGACCATTTCTACAGTCAAAATTTTATCTTGGACTAAACACCTGAAAATCATCTCCCTAGGATTAGAATAGATTTAAGTAAATAGATGCCCTCTTATTAAAAGCATGTGTTATCTAACAAGATAGCTCTGGCAGAGGCAAGCATGGCCTGAAAGAGGAATCAAGCCAAAAGGAGTAAACTATGGCTGAATGTGTCCCCACAAAATCCGTATGTTGAAGTAGAATTCCCCATATGATGCTATTAGGAGGTGAAGCCTTTCGGGTGTAGTTAGCACAAGGGTAGCGCCACCGAGAATCGGATTAGTGCCCTTAGAAGCAGAGGCAGAGAAAAGTGATGCTCTCAATCATGAAAGAACCAGGAAGCAGGCTCTCACTAGATAGATTTGCTATCACCTTGATCTTGGTTTTCTCAGACTTGAACTCTGGGCACTAAGTGTTATACAAGCCACTTGTTTGTGGTATTTTTAAAGTAGAAGCTGAAGGTAAGACAAAGGGCAAACATGCAGCTCAAACTTCCAGTGTTAATATTGCTTGTCTTAGGCCCTCCCTGCTGTTGCAAAGGGTTAGTGCAGCACTACAAGGCTGGCTGCAGGCATGTCAGCAAGTTTGATCCCACATGGAGCTCCCCACATGGGGTAGCTGTCTTGCCCACTGCTCCTCTCTTCAGTGTACTTAGTTAATCTGCCTGTTCTACTCCACACTCTGTCTCTGGTGAGTCCTCTCCTGTCCCTGCAACTCTGTTCTATACCTCAGGCCTACACCCCAGTTCTGTATACATAAATAGGTAAATCTTAAATATATATATATATATATATATATATATATATATATATATATTGCTTGTTTTAAAATTCAGAGTGTCTATAATAGACTGCTGTTTTGATGTGGCTACCATGGGATATTTTCTTTTAAATTAACTGTCAGGAAAAAAAAAATACCATCTTCAGGACAAATATTTACATAACTTGTACTTCACTTGAGAATTCATTGATAAGTGGCATACAGATATACCTGCAATGGCAGTGGCCATGTTCTCTTGTTTACCTATGTAATTTATTTCAACAACTTTTTTTTAAAGATTTATTTATTTATTTATGCATACAGAACTGGGGTACAGGCCAGAGGTCAGAGGCAGTGAGAGGATTCACCTGAGACAGAGTGGGGAGCAGAACAGGCAGATTGACAAAGTATACTGCTGAGGGGAGGTACACTGTACGAAGTGGGCGGGCCAGGCAGGAGAGGTCTGCTATGCCATGTGGGTCACCTCCAGGGCAGGGGATGGAACTTGCACTGAAGCAGCTGTAGCTAGCTTGCAGTGTTGCATCCTAACTTATTGCACCACCAGGGAGGGCCCCCAAACACTTTTTTTTTTTAAGATTTATTTATTTATTTATACATACAAGATCTGGGGTATAGGCAGTGAAAGGATTCACCAGAGACAGAGTGGGAAGCAAAACAGGCTGAAATACACTGAGGGGAGCCTTGGATGAGACAGGAGAGGTCTGCTGTGGGTGGGCTCCCTGGCCAGGGATCGAACTCACACTGCAGTGGCTGGAGATAACATCACAGTGCTGAGACTTAACCCTTTCCACCACCAGGGAGGCCCCTCTTCCAACAACTTTTATGCAGCAATGTTTTGGTATGGAGTTTAAGGTATAGAGTAATCTTATATGTCATAATCAATTCTTGAGTGAATAATCATCTAGATTAGTTACTCAACAATACACATTCAGCATTAATTTACAGAGTAGCTGCTACATTTAGCAGTGCTCAAGTGTCATGGATATATCAGTGAAAAAAAGAGGCCCTACTCACATGGACTTTACATACCGGTAAAGATACCAACACATTATATAGCAAGGAAAAAGATAAGGTCATTAGGGAGTAGCTCCCTGAGAAGGTAACAAAATGAGGGCGTAAGTCAGACGCTATTCAGGAAAGGATCACTGTTGATGGAAGTTAGTGCACAGGTACTGAAAAGAGAATAAATCCTAGAGAAAGCTATACCAGTGGATTACACGTACAGAAATGTATAGAGGAGCCTTTTGATATCTCTACTCTGGCCAAACTATATATTTAGGCCAAGCCCAATACATAGGTGAATCACCCAAAGGACAATTTTTTCCCAGTCAAATAGTGAGTTGATGGTGGCCCTTATTTCTATTTTCATAATTTCTTTAAAGGTCTTATATTACAATTGTGGTTTAATTGCCTTGCCTAAAATTATTATTAATTAGAAGAATAGTTAAGACGCTGGAGATTTGTTTTTTATTTTACATTATTGCTTTCAAACATCATTATGCACTCGCCTAAGAATTTGACCTTTAAAAGTGGTGTTTTCTCTGTGTTAGCTGGTTTGTGAGTTGATATATGGTTAATTTTAATTATAGTTTTTCAATTAATATCTTTTTTAATATGTAAGCAGATATTATTCAGTTTTTCTGAAAAATTAAGTGTGAAACTCTCATAAAATTGAAGAATTTAGATATTGTAAAACTCTTATGCTATTAAGATTTCAAAGCACTATATTTGACTTCAATTTATCTATTAGCCTTTCTGTTGTTACTTTCTTCTTAACAACTCTGTTAGCTTTTAGCCTTCTCCCTGTTGAACAGAGAACAATCTAACAGTGATCAATATTAAACCCTACAGAATCCTAGTACTTTAAACAAACCACATCATTTAAATCTTATTGATTAGTAGATAAGAAGGCTCCAAGATTTATAAACTTATAAGCAAAATGATAGTAAAAGTTTCAGCAAATACTCAAGAGTGGTTTCAAAAGGCACTTTTTATTCAAGTCTGTGTGCACTTAACTCTACTTAACTTGTTTCACAAAACCTACAGATATATTAAGTGCTAGTTCCTTGAAACATTATTTATAACGTTAAATAGGACAAAAATATTACTAGCATATAGAAGACTAAAATATGAGTGCAGTTCAGTCTGGAAGTTCCTATAATCGTAAAATCGTAACACTCCCCTGTTAATAAGTGCAATAGAACCCAAACAATCTTTACTAGACAGTCATAAAAAAAAGGAATGAAAATGACTTAGTAAATCATGACACAGGTGAAAATAAACATACCTCCCATTTTTGTCATCTTCATGAATAAAGGAAGGCACGGTCGATCCGCAAAAATTTCACTTTGATGAACGAGGCATTCCTTTACTACATCATAGCCATTTAGAACCACAGTTGATATGCCACCAAGATCTAAACTGAAGATCTTTGAAAAGATATGCAAGGTTAAATGGAAAAAAGTGTGAAGAAATATAAAGGTGGAAATATACACATGCTAAGCCCAGTTCTCGATTATATTATTTCCCTGAGAATGTAACGGCGCTGTTAGGCGGGCCTTCTCTCTAGAGGTATATCAAACACAGTAGTTTTATTGTGTGTTCAGTGCCTGAAGATATAATCTTATAAATGGAAGAATTACTGAACTCAGGAGGCCTGGGTTCTACTTTAAGCTTTGTCATTAAACAAATGTAGAATCCCGGGCAAAAATCTTAAACTTTGGGCTTCAGAGTTGTCATTAACAATATACTTGACTTAGTCGTTCTTTTGAGATTCATTCCAACTAAAAAATGGCATCTAAGAATCTTTTTGTTGACAAGATGAAGGAGACAGCAGTACTACATACATACAATTTATTACTTCAGCCTTATGTAGTGAAAAGAACCATTCTGAGTCCCAGTTCCCATCACCCAAGATTTGCAAAAGTAATATATTCTTTTTGTTTTTTAAAGCAATTATTAATAACTACATCTTGGTTACTCTGAATTAAAGAAATAGTAGAGTCCAAGAAGGTAGAATAGGAAGACCTTGTGCTTACTTCCTCACAAAATCACATCAACACATGAACATAGACTAATCTATGCAGAAGTAGACCTGAAACCAGAGGAATAGTGGTTCCACAATGTAAGATAAAAAAGCAACACCAAAAGACATAGGAGAGACAGAGACATGACCTTGTTTAGGAAGAAGCCCATAATGCAGCATAAGGTGAAAGTGGTAAGACATTACTAAAGCTACAGGATGCCATGCAAGAACACCTGCATAAGATGATGCTCTCAGCTTCTTCCTGGTGGTGCAAGGGTTAAAATCTTAGTGTTATCAGCGGGCCCTCCCAGTTGGGGAAGTGGGTTAAAGCACAGCACTGGGAGGATTAGGCCACTTCAGCAAGAATTAGATAGAATTCGATTCCCACCTGCTCCAGAGGAGATGATCCACATGGTGTGGCAGACCTCTCCTGGCTGGCCCGCTGCTCCCCTCAGCAGTGTACTGGCCCGCTGCTCCCCTCAGCAGTGTACTTCGTTGATCTGCCTGTTCTGCTCCCCACTCTGTCTCTGGTGAATCCTGTCACCCTCTGCATCCCTGGCCTATACCCCAGTTCTGAATGAATAAATAAATAAATCTTAACAACAACAAAAAAATCTTAGTGTTATCAAGCTTTCAGTAGCCACTGCAGCATTAGTTCAATTTCTGACCAAGGTGCTGACCCATGCTGTGCTGCTCCCTTCAACAGTGCATTTCAGTAGCTCCACTTGTTCTGCTATCCATTCTGTCTCTGGTGAAACCTCTCTCATCCCCCCATAACTCTGGCCTACACCCCAGTTCTTGTATGAATAAACAAACAAACAAAACTTAAAAAAAAAAAAAAGATTAAGCTCTCAGGGCTAGAGGAAGAAGGAGTATCACCTAGAACACAGAAGCAAACACAGAATCAGGAAGAATGGGGTTAGAAGAACATGCCCCAAATGAAATAGCAAAAGAAAAACTGGAAAAAAAAAAACAGATAAGAACTACTTGAGGAAGAACTCAAAATAATGATTACAAAGATAACCATTGATTTTTGGAAAAGAATGGGTAAACTAGAAAAATTAAGGACCCTCCAGCAGAAATCACAGAACTGAAGAATATAATAGAAGAACTAAAAAATGCAATAAAGGTTTTCAAAAATAAACTGGATAAGTCAGAGGAACAAATTAGTGAGTTGGGAAAAAAGTAACAGAAATCACCAAGACAGGGGCATCATAATGAAAAAGAATGGATAAAATATCAAGACACCCTTAGAGACCTCTGGGAAACATCAAAAGGAACATTATCACAATGTAGGGGTTCCAGAAGAAGATAAAGGGCCAGAAAAAAAATTTTGATGGAATAAGTATTGAAAATTATCCTAAAATGAAGAAGAAAGCAGACATTCAGACATAAGAAGCCCAGAGAATTCCTGCACAGAGATGAAGAGACAACCTTACCATAAGAGACAAGAACTGGAAACTGCATAAACAAACTGAGTTCACTAAATTGTTATTCAAACCAAGACTTTCAAGAATTTCTTTGTTCTGTCTATTCTTCACAGAATTATTGCTTTTTTTGTCTAAATGTTAGATAATCAGGCTGTTTTGGTCATCCACTATATTCCATATCTATGGATCTCTGTGCACATGAAATTAAATTTGTGTTTTCTCTTGCTTATCTCTCTCATGTCAATTTACTATTGGACCAGTGAAAGGAACTAAAGGAGATGAGGAAGAGATCTGAAAACTGGCAGTGGTATATGTCAAAAGTGGCAGTGAAAAGTTTTAGCAAAAAAGGAAATGAGGGTCCCTTCCTGGTGGTGCAACGGGTTAGGATGCAGTACTGCAAGCTGGCAGCAGTGGCTTCTGTGCCCCGTAGGTGACCCACATGGCCTGGCAGACCTCTCCTGACCCCCTTGCTGCTCCCCTCAGCAGTATACTTCGAAGATCTGCTCATTCTGCTCCCCACTGTCTCTGGTGAAGCCACTCACCGCCTCTACACCTCTGGCTTGTACCCCAGTTCTGTATGAATAAATAAAAAAATCTTAAAAAAACAAAAAAAGGGAATGACTGGCAGCTGAGCAAAGGTGGGACTCTTTCATTTCTCAAAGTAGTAGAGAAATGCCCTTAAAGGCAAATCTCTTCCCACAAGTGTAATTTTGGAAGATATAAAGGAAAAACTGCTCATGTGTGTCTCCTCTTTCTCTATACTACACTTCTGACACCAGATGTTTGGGTTTTCCACACGTCAAGCAATTCTGGAACACCAGCTAAGTGTTCTACAATTTAACTCAATTCTGACATTCCCTGAGGTGGTGTCCGATCCCACAGGTTAAGAATTCAGTGTCACAAGAATGTGCCTCACAGTTGAAAGTCCAAATTGTTACTTGGCTTTTAAGCAGTTGTTCCCACACCTCCTCTTCCAGTTCTATTAATTTTCTGATTGACTCAAAAAACTCAGGAAAAGATTTTACTTATCAGATTATGGTATATTATAAAATAATATAATTTAGAAATAGTCACATGGAAGAATTACATAGGACAATGTATGGAGCAATGGGTTTGATGCTTCCATGCCCTGTCCAGACATACAATCCTCTGCTTGCCTCCACTTATTCACCAACAAGGAAGTACCCTCAACACTACATTACACGGAATTTTTAAACAAAGTCTTCATTATCTGAGAATGATTAATTAAATATTTGCCACGGGTGACTGATTCAACCTCCAGCTGTAAAGCAAGTCAGAACAACACATACCAATATTGGCTGTTTACATAGCATAAGATCTGACAAAGTAAAATGCTTCTAAACACTAGTAGACACCATTAAAGGAAGTGAGGTTTTTGAGGTTAAGATGGAGTGGGGAGAGAGAATGGGTCAGAGTATGGGGAATGTAGGGGAGGAGGGAAAGAAATAATCATGTACCCAAAATACTGGAGCCATTTGCATATTATGTACAATTTATATAGTTGTCTATTATATGCAATTATATATTGTACTGATGTATATAATGTATACTTTACTGATTGTGCTTATATAATCCCTCTCCCCCCCCCCCCCTAGAATATGAGCCAGATGAGGGCAGGAATTTTTACTGTTTGTTTAATGCCACAACTTCACATCTATGACAGTCAATAAAATATAGGGCAAATCTCTGAACAGAGATGAGGGCACATAACAGCGGTCGCTGTGAAGGACGCTCCTGGCCAGCAAGGCCCACATTGCTCCTTTAGTGATGTAGGCCTCCATACCAATTTTTAGTCATTAATTCATTCTCTTTCACAATCATTCCCCAGAGCCCACTCTGGGGGTGGGAGTGGGGGTGTGGGACCTCATCTGCGATTTCTAATCCTCACAGCAAATGCTAGATCAGCATTCCTCAAATGAAAACATCTAACTAGATCCTGTATGCGGACCTCATTTTCCTGAGAAGCCTTCTGCGTTGGAACTTAATTTGCAAGTTACATGGCGCCGTCGTCCCCGCCCCCGCTCCCGCGGAGCCCAGAGACTCAGCCCCTGGCTCTTCCCACCCAGCACGTCCATCAGCACCACCCTACGGACAGCAGGTTCCCGGGGCCCTACTGCGCAGGCGCAGGAGTACCCCTCGACGCCCTTCGGGCATCCGGGCCTACGGCGCAGGCGCAAGCTCACCCCTCCTCCCTGCCCTCGGAGGCGGGCGGGTCCGGGCCTGGGGCTCCTAGCTGGGTAGGGCTACTCCCCCCGGGGCGCGGCGTCCCGGACTTCCTGCAGCCGGGGAAAGTTGGTTTCCTGAGACCGCCGCCTTAGGGAGAGCGATCCTTAGTCGCTCTAGCCCCGGAGCGGTCGTCAGCCCACCCGGACGGCCCGGGCCCTCCCTGCTTAGGGCCCGTCGAGCTGTACCTCGCCGTACACCTGGCTCTGCTTTTTCATGTAGACATGGGGGAGTTCGGCTGAGGCGGCCAGCGAGCAAATGTTGCCGATAAGGGGCAGCCCCGACGGCCCCGGAGGAAAGCCGGCGGGTCGCCTCTGCTTAAGCAGCTGGCGGACCACCAGCGCAAAGAACAGCAGGAAGAGCATGCCGCCGAGCGCCAAGACGTAGGCTTCAGCCCCGCGCGGGGCCCGCATGGCCCCCGGCCCCGCAGGGCGCCGACACCCCGTCCGTGGGACTCAGATCTGCCTGCCGCGCGGCGCGCTCTCCGGCCGGATGCCCCGAGGTCCCGCCCTGTTCCGTGGCCATTGGCTGAGTGCTGGGCTCTTGGCCTCCTGGGAACTAGCTCCTAACTTTTCGCTGGTAGTCCCTGTGACAGGCTAAGATAATGCACCAGGTTGGCGGGGCATCAAGCCCAGAGCCCTGCTCGAAGGTGTTGGCATCAGAGGTGTCTAAGCACGGTCAGCCGCCCTGGGCCCGGCAGATCTTGCCTCTCTGCCGTTTCCAGCGCCACCTCCCTCTCCCTTCTTCCAAGGTTGTGTTTTTAGAAATCCGATCTGCTTATTTTAGACTGGGAAAACTGGAAAATTGTCGGTACTGCAGGCTTTAGCTGTACCTGGTAACTGACAATCACCATTAGAGAACTGACACCCTCCTCTCCCAAGTAAAAAGAAAATGTACTGTTTTGTCCCATTTTATTCATTTGTTCTTTCCTTTTTGAGGCTCTTTTGGCGTGGGATCCCTTAAGAATTGTGATGATTGCACAATATTTTGACAGCCTGAGTTACCCACCTATCTTCACTCCTCTCTGGTCTTCCCAAACTGGTTACATCTTGGAGTCCCAGGTACGTAGGTGTTCAACTTAGTACTTATCAAAGCTTCTGCCCCCACTATCTAGAATTAAGCAATTGGCTGCCTGTTTGGAAATTCCCATTTGCTGTTTGTTTCTATTCCTGTTTGCTATTAGGTAATTCCTTGCAACACACACCTATTGGCCGTGGAGTCTTATATCTGCCCTCCAATTATGATACAGGAGGATAAAGTGTTAATGGTCATCGTTAGCTTGAGGCTCATTTCTATAACAAATATTTATTGAATGTCTACCATGTAGACAATGGTGAAACACTGGTGAATAAGACAGCACGTCCCTACTTTACTAGAATTATGTTATTGTGAAAGGGAAGAGGACTAAGCACATATATAAAATTTAGATAATCATAACAAGATGAAAATAAGTGTCTATAGAAAATGCCTGCAGATGGGGAGATCCTTTTAGCAGGATTTGTCAGGAAATCCTCCCCCCACGGATTATCATCACTACATCACCATCTCTAACAAATCACTGTCCAGCTGCCATGCCTCCCATTCTGTCCTGCCTCTAAGCAGATGTTGGGATAAACTTGTTCATGTGTATGTACCATTTTAGGAAGTTCCTAGCCTTTGCACACTCCTGCCATTAGGGTTTGGCATTTTCTAACTCAGTCTATTTTGATGCAGTTTAAATTTATAAATTAATAAAGACTTATTTGTGTGGTCACCATGAATAAGACATGAACAGTAAAATAAGCCAAGATCAGTATTGTTGATTTGCTTTTGCTTTATGCTCCTTGCTACGTTAGTTGGTGTCATGACAGCATTGTGAATAACAACACTGATGATGCCTTGTCCACCTCACTGCTCTTGAGTTTGGTGTTAGTGGAGTGCTTAGGACTCACTAAAAGTCTCTCAGTTTACCTAGTCTACAGATCCTTCCCTGTGACTACTTGTTATATTATCTCAGTGCCTTGCAAAGAGAAATAGCTCCCTATGTCCCCCCTTCCTTTATTGCCCCTAGAGTGATAAGGAAACAATAATATTCGTCTATGGATTTTATTATGACAGGGATGTTGGTGGAGCAGGAAATGAAGGACTTCATTGTTTCGTGGCAAGGATCCTGTCTTCATTATGCAGGTTGGAATGTTTACCTGGAGAAATGTGAAAACCTGTATGTGGGCCTGATGTTCCTATGTACAAGACAGTAACAGTTTCAACAAAGGACAAATGGTTGCTGTGTTGGAGCAACAGTCTCTTGGCCTTTGGGAACTGTCCTTATAGGACTCACCCTGAGGGTCAGTGGCACATGATAAAGTGTCTAAAGGACTCTCTGCTAGTTCTTAAATAGCTGTGATCCCCTTGTGAGCAATCCATACTAATCTAACTGTCCTTCCCTGGCACAGAGAGATGTGGCCAGCACAAGTTTGCCTCCTTTGTGCATTCCATTATAGATATAGCTGTATTTCTTCAGAGTGGCAGAAAATAACATCAAGGTAGTGTCAGTGGTAGAGCTATGTTAGTTTCAGTAAGGGATGCAGAAAAGAAAGTAGAGTTTAATGAGAAATATCTTTCCTTTTATAATTTGTCCAAAGACCTTCCCTTATGGTCATAAAGTTCACAGGAGTCATTCCTGTGACTTCCTGGAGATGCTTACTAGAAGGCCTCTGCCACTCCCTCCCTTTCAGCTTTCTCCTGGACCAGTTCTAATCTGGCATTCCTGGCCTTTAAATAGATTTGAAGTCTTAAGTGGAAGAGCATTTTGTGACTATCTTGTTACCACTCCCCAATGTGATATCTGAGAATCAGAGACTGCATAAAGTTCTGTTCAAGTTCACACAAGACAGCATCAATAGAACCAGAAATGAAGACTGGATATACTACGTGTTCCTTCAGTTAATCATGACAAAATTGTTGGGCACCCATTAGACTAGTTTTAGGGGATGTAATGGTAAACAAATTCAGTCATGGCTACCACTTGCCCGGGCTTATAGCCTGTTAGGGAATGCAAACATCAATAATCATAAATAGAGGCACTACTACAATCAATTGTGTTTTCTGATGTGAAGAACAGTTCTCTAAGTATGTATAACACAAGAAATGTGGTCATTTTGGGGGGTCAGAAATTTAACTCTGGTTACACTTTTCTTCCCATGATCATGTTCTTTACAAGTTTTGTTGAAATTGTTTCCCAAGCTACTCGTTTTCCACGAGACATTGAGTTCCAGTAGGAAAGAGAAATAAAATGGATATACCAAAGTCAGCTTTTTAAAGTTTGTAAATATCATCCAGAAAGCCACTTCAGTCCTAATATAAGTCTTCTTACTCATCCTTTGTACTGATTTTCATAAACATTCCCTAACATGTGCTTCTGGAAACAGTAATTTAAGGAAGCAGTGTAAACAGTAGATTGAAGTGATTTAACATTCTTATCAGAGAAGATTAAAATTACTTTAAAAATATTCTAAATTATTCTTAGAGCACAGGGCTAGTGTAATATATTGTTGAGGAGATTTAGCTAAGTAGCTATTGTGATTCTGGAATCCAGTTCCATTGTGTGTGTTGGGGGGTGGTTTGCCACCACACCACCAAGAAATTCTTGAGATACCAGCTGGGTGTCCTACAATTCAACTTAATTCTGACACAGAATAACTGGACAGACCATCAGCTTCTATACATTCAGGGCCCAGACCCACAGGACCGCCCACTGCTTCAGAAGGCAAACCTACACTTCTGAACTTAAGATCTGTACTTAAGTCCAGTTGGCTATAAATGAAAGGTCCCCACCACCCCATCTTTGGGCTCGATTAACTTGATAGAACAGCTCATAGATCTCAGGAAAATCTTTACTCACTCAGTTACCAGTTTATTACAGAGGATATTAAAGTATACAAACCAATAGCCAGATGAACAGATATATAGGTCCCGGTCCTGAACAAAAGAGTTTGTGTGGCATGTGAAAACAATTTAGTTCATCATCGTGACTTCTGCCCTCCGTCTTTTTGGGTTTTTATGGAAGTGTCATTAAATAGGCTTGATTGATTCAACCACTAGACCCCTTTCCCTAACCCAGAAGGTGGTTCTGAAAGCCCCACCATGCTAGACAAGATTGGTTACTCCTAGTAACTACCCTGCTCCCATCTTTAGATGTTTTCCAAAACACATTATTATCATAAACTCAGTTATTGAAAGGGTCTTGTTAAAACAAGCTAATAACAAGACATTCATTTAATCTTTAAGACTCTCTGAAGCATTTTTAGGAACTAAGGACAAGAGAATGAATATTATAATAAAAGATGTTCCTATTGCTCTTATCATGCAGGAAATTGCAAGAGTTTTGGTTGTTGAGAGTCAATAACTTGGGGTGAAATCACAAACACATCAGTTTATGAGAAGAACCACTATTTATATATTTTGAGCACATCTATTGCCTTAAAGAGCCAGGTATCTTAGCAAATATGCCAGAAATAAGTGTATGGTGGAATTGCATAAATGTCAATCTTTAAATTTAGACACATTTTGACTATTACTGATAATTTAAGTTTCACAGTTCATAGAACATAAGATTCTCATTTCTTGTTTCAGATTTTAGTTTGGGAACTCTGTGTGTGTGTGTGTGTGTGTTTGTGTGTGTGTGTGTATTATATCTTTAAAACACAATCCAACAAATTGATACATAGTCAAACTTTCAAAATGTCCCTGTGTTTACTTGTAGTAAAGCTATAATGAACATTTTACTTCACAGAGAATCACAGATTCTCTTGTCTTTGGGATAATTTACTTGGTATAGATTTCCAAATGTAGTATTATTATATATACATTATAGTGAGTGTTCTCCAGGGAAATAGAAAAATCAGATGTAGACATAAATATAGGAAAACTATAGATAAAAACACAGGTAAGAGGAGAATTATTACAGGGATTGACTCTCATGATCAGAGAGGCTGAGAAGACCCATGCTCTGCCATTTGCTAAACAGAGAGTCAGGGAAACCAGTGGGGTAATTCAGTCTGAGTCCAAAGGCCTGAAAAACAGGGGAGATGATGTTGTAAGTCTGAGTCCAAAGGCTCAGAAGCAGGAGTCTGTGTCTGAGGGCAGCAGCTGTTTAAATTCATCATTATCCACTGTAATGTTCCAAAATCCACCTGCATTTTGCACAGGTCAAGAAGGAGAGCTGGATAAGGGGTGTGGAAATCACCACCACTACATCTTTCAGGTACTTAATGGAGACACTATCTTCTTTAAGTCCTCCAAGGATGTGCTATTTCTTTAATTTACCATTTTTCTAGGTAAAGACTGTTTGAATGACTCTTCCGTCACCTTTCCCACCATATTAGCTATCATTCCACAGGTTGGGGAGCCAGGAGGGGGGTTTGCCAGTTATTAAATATGCCTGTTCCAATTATGAATTTGGGAACTGGGGAAATAACCATAGAAGGCTCAAAGACTCATGGACTCACTGCAAGATGGACATGGGCTAAAACTCCATTCATGTTCTCACCTCCATAAGCCCCTACTCTGATTTGAGAGCCATAGTGATGTTTCAGGTTACTTGGAATTAGTGTCAGTTCAGATTCTAGTTTAGTGTCTAGTGATCCCCAAAAGATCTGGTTATTTGCTTTTTCCCAGTGCATAGTTATCATTGTAAAAACATGTCTTTAGGAAGGCAACAGTATAATTTTTGGGTAGTATACAGAAGTCCAGTCTCCCCTTTATTTAAAAAAGCCTGGGTCTGGGTCTGTAAATTGGCTTATGTCTGTAAATTGATGGAGGGGCCATGATTCTTGGTTTTTATGATTCAAATTAGATTAGTTTGACTTGACCTAGAGCTTTTCTGTTTGTATGGATCAAGTAAAAATGTAACGGACTCCCTGTATATTTAATTTCTAGGAACACCATGATTAACTAGCCAGTGCTCTAGTTCTGCACTCCTTTGACTCTGCTGTCTATTACAGTAATCGTGCTCACCTTGCCTCTGACACTTGAGTCTTTCATTTTGACCCCTGAGCATACCCTGTGACTATTCCTATTGTGTTTAGTTTTTTCCTATCAGTGGTTCCCACTATGAGGTCTGATTTATAAAGATGAGTAGTCTCCAGAGTTCTTCATGGATGCTGGGGCTCTCTATACAAATTCATTTCTAACAATATGGTAAAAGATACATCATCTGGGCACTCCCATTGTTCACAAAGAGGTCTTAAATGACACATACACTCTAACATTCCGTTTTCCTTAAGCCTCTTAACCAAAGGAGGTTGAGCATTTCCAGTTCACTTAAGGTGACCATCTTTTGGTTTATGCTTTCGCCAACCAAACAAATAAGCAGAGCCTTTTCTAGCTGTCTGAATTGCAACATTAAATGAAGAGCCTCTGCTTAGTGAGTCTATAATCAATAAATTTGGCTTAATCCAACTGTATCCTTATACTATTATTTCTTCTATCCAATCCCCACACATATACCCAAATTTCTTTTATAAATTAGAAAACTCAAGTATATCCTTTGGAATATAGACTGCCTCCTCATAAGTCACCTTTAGTAACCTTTACCTTTAGTAAGCCTGCTGGAATTTGAGTCTAGTGATAATTTTAGAGGCAAAGAGGGATTATGGGTTTGAGTCCTAAGAGACTCAGCATTGTCTTGCATGGAAAATGCCTGGAGGGTGGGGATGTTATTGTTTCATCCTTCAGAAATGCAAACCATCTAATGGAGCTGGCTAGGATGGTACCACTGTGAGAGGGAAGGCTGAACTGCTGTGGGTGGAAATGCTGCTGCCAGTGGGGGTAGAAAGGTCATTTCTGCTGGAATTGGAAATGGCACATTACTGGAAGTGGACAGACTTATTATCTTGGCAAGGAACACTCATCAGAATTTTAAGGTTTAATGTCCCCAGCTTCATCAGAGCCTTCCCTCTTGTTTCTATCACAAGTTAGAGGATCCCTTAAAAACTTGCACTGTAATTCAGCAAGTTGCAAAAGAAGGGTCTAGATTTAATTTTTCAGCAGTTTTCCCCTATAGATATAGGAAATAAGATGTCTCATTCAGCATGTATATAGAAGCATTTATGCTGAACTTGAGCTGAAAATTTTAATCCCTGCATTCATCCTTTCTTTTCCTTCTAATGCCCAACCATCATCATTAT